ACTTCTCACCTGCGCAGGAACTCCTGGTACACATCTCACCTACGCAGGAACTCCTGGTACATGTCCCGCCGGATGGTCTGCCGTGTGACGGCATGGCGGCGCAGCAGCAGGCGCCGGATGTCGTCCGTCAGCGCGCCGTACAGGCACCGCTCGCCGTCGAACGTGTTGGCCTCGCAGCGCGCGCCCGCCTCCAGACTCGGTCTCCGCCAGGTCAATGTGGCCGCACAGGCAGGCGTAGTAGCTGCGCGCAGGCGGGAGGGCGTCGGACAGCGGCCACGGAGGCAGGCGCGGTTGGCCACGGTCTCGACCGACCCGGTCAGAGCTGAGGCGATCAGAGCAGTGTGGCTGGCTCGCCGGGATGGATCATGGATGCCATGTAGCTCATGTGTGGCAGAGTCCAGATCCCGGATCTTGGGATCCGAATCAGGGTCAGCGCACATGTCTGTTGACTTGTGCCACAAATATCATGGCACTCGTCGACAACGCCCACCGTGTCCTCGGATTCTTTTTCTTCGAACACGGTAAACCGACGATAACTTGGTGCACAGCGACAAAAAAGCAGTGAATCACTTTGCGAAATCGATAACGAACGCAGCCTGCGCTAGCTGATGAAAGCTGGCCCTATTTGTTACACCTTAACGATGTTGCTGCCACCTAGCGGCAAGAAGACAATCCGGGTGACAGCTGGTGATTAGGGTAGTTGTTGGGCATTCCGGTTAACTACAAGATGAAATCGGTAAAAATACCTGTAAAACATGAGCTTCTCCTGCTCCGTAGTACACAATAATAATCTAAGTTGACCATCGAAAACATAACGCGCGGGTGTTGTTTTGTAACATTTTTGGGGCTCAGAGGGTCTATAAGCTGCTTCTTTTTATCCATCGCCAAATTCGTACTTCTACATGCTTGGCATAATTGGGTGCCCGGATCCCCTAAACAATACAGACGACAAACCCGACTAAACACACTCGCACAGCGCAGCAACACACCAGGCATGATTGTTGTGTAACAAACTCACGGTCTACACGTTTCGAAGCCCCTCAATTTGTAAACATTAACATCAAGACGCACCTTCACTATTTACGCCACGTTTACGAACTGGCGAGTACTGCTCCATGCCGTTTCCACTCTGTGTGAGCAGACGTATGGCGCAGTAAACGGGGGAAGGGCTAGAGTTTGTTTGCTGGTGAGCATGGCCCCTCCCTCCTCCGTTGCAGGCATAACATTTTCTGTGCGTTCGATCCCGCGACCCGGAACACCATGGCATCACGCCGAGCCGACACCGGCGGCGCTTTGCACTTGGGGGCTAAGGACAATCGTTTCAAACGGAGATAGGCTGCATCAGCACAGCTGAAACAATTGCAGACGTGGATACCGGAACAGATGCAGCGAACCCGACACCAGACCTTATTGGGAAAAACCGTAGGCCAGATTCAGCCGTCTGCGCGGCCTGAGCCTGGCTGGATCGGACTCTGACGCACGGAAGGGTCTCACCGATGTCAAGCGCTGGAGATGTGTGCCAAGAACCTGCACGTGGTTGTGATAGCCGAGCCCGGTGGGGAATACGATGGATGGCGCATATCTCAGGTCTAGTCAGGTCCTGGACAGGTTCAGTTAACTGCCGGCAATACCCTGAGAGTAAGACGACGACGTGACCGATCCTGGTGTGACGACACGGCGGTAAACGCTTGACGCCCTGGTGTCATCTGGACGTTGTTTGCATTGGTCGAACAATACACCCGCCCTACTGTTTGCTTCGCCAGCTGCACGCAATCAAGTTCTAACCGCGGCAGCCGTTCAAAGAGCTCGATAGTGTGACAAACTGGACTTAAGTCGCTCACAGGACCGCATGGCGAAGAGGCTGCAGGAGCAGTGCATGAGCTGCCTGTGATCCAGCTCGGCCCCGCCAGCGGCGACGTTGCGCAGTGCGTGACCTGCACGTGATCCAGCTCAGTCCCACCAGGTGGCCACGTCGCTGCAATGACGGCAGCTGCAGCTGCTGACCTCAGGTGCGACCAGCGGGTCCCCTGTGACCTGGCTGCCACCGTTCAGCGCGAAATCGGCCGCTAAACCACGCAGGGTGAGGTGGTCTCCGCTCACGGCTAACACGCCGCCCTTCTAATGCATTCTGGGTCGATATTTAGTTGCATTTTAGCCATCTTCAGATAAAGCAAATGCCAGCTTCAGCATTTTAACGCGGGTTCAACGTCGTGCTGTCGTGAGTCTGCGTTCTGATGTGATTGATCATGGGGGTCCGGAAGTGGCGTCGCTCTACTGACTTTAATTCGATCCCTGTTTGCACGATGGACGAGTCGACATAAATTACCTCTGCTCAGTCACTCCTTTGCCAGCACCAAAGCCTTTGTCTATAAACAATGTTTGTCCGTCACTGGGGATTTACGATGCACTCAGCTGCTGACTTATATGGCGTCGCCTATCTCTCACCCCGGCAGGAAGGGCGCGCACCGCGGGAAATTAAACCCGTACCTCTGGTCGATGCATAAATGTCTGAATTCGTTCGCACGCATACGACAGCATGGTATGCACCTCGCGGGTGGCTCAAGCTCGGTGCAGGCTCACTAAGAACATACGCGCCGATACAAAATCCAAGAACCCAGCTTCAGGACATGGCGAAGTATGTGGTGAGCAACATGCACAATGTGATTCCACATGCAGGAAAACGACAGATGAACCAGTGGTTCAAAGAATATGAGGAATTGCCTGAAGCTCCTTGGGTCTCCCCCACACCGCGTGCGAGATATCCCGCAGCCCGTCATGGAAAGGAATGCAGAATGCTCCCATCCCTAGGCAGTTGCTTTTGGTAGTGATGAGTGACAAGATAGCAGAGATCAGGGCCCAGGCCGTGAAGCGTATGGAGACGTGCTACCCTGCGTCGAAGGAAGATGTTCGCCCGTTCACTCTGCCATCTTTAAACTTCACTGCCAACGATTACGGGCAGTTATCCAACCGGGGCGCAAAGCTGGTTGCAGATCTGGCACTGACAAAACACCTGAGTGGGCAGGATCCGCCACTGACGAAACAACCTGAGTGGGCAGGATCCGCCACGGACAAAACACCTGAGTGGGCAGGATCCGCCACGGACAAAACATCTGAGTGGGCAGGGCCAGCCACTGACAAAACACCTGAGTGGGCAGGATCCATCACTGACAAAACATCTGAGTGGGCAGGACCTGCCACTGACAAAACATCTGAGTGGGCAGGACCACCACTGACAAAACACCTGAGTGGGCAGGACCCACCACTGACAAAACACCTGAGTGGGTGCTCACACCAAGCTCACAGCAGGAGTGGCCACATACAACAACCCTTCCTTTCCCAAATTAGCGTTTTTGTCGTGCCGATTTTCATACACCGTCCTGATGTTCGGGGCGTGGGAACGGGTCACTTCACTGTTTTGTGAAACTTTCGATCGCCGGTGGTGCGTGGGACCATGTTTGTGCAAGCGTCGACAGCGAAATGCGCACATCATATTCAACGCTTGAAGCCGCTCGGCATAATATGTTATGCTCCATGTTCACTGAAGGCTGTATGTGTCACTTGCATTGGAAATTGTATCGATTTCCGAGCCGAGTTTCCCACAGATCGATCTGTTCTGCCAAGTTGATCACACCTTATATATAACATGTCTTATTTTGCTAAAAAAATATGCAAGTTGTGATTTACATCAACAGACATCAACACTGAGGAGGGCGTGATGTAGCTTATCAGCTGGCACAGGCTGGGTTTTGAATGTTTCAAAGAAACATTTTGAGAAGTTTAATAACATGCCATTCTGCACAAACTTCTTGCTGGCTCACCATCTTCTGCAACTGATGACACATCTTGCTGCCCACTGGAGCATTTATGTCTCATCATTTGGCTGCTTGCAATGTGCACAAAATAACAGATACCTTCAGCAAGCATGCCTCTTGCTAACATAATGTATAACAGGCAATTCTGAAATAAACTCATCTTTGTCTCTTTAATCAACATCTGCCACATTAACAGTAAACATAAATTTTCAGGGTTAAAAAATGCTCCATATGCACTGAAAATTAATGAACATGCTATGATTCTGCATGGTATTTGAAATAAGCAAAAGAAGGTTTCAAAGTACAAATGTAGGCTTACAGAGGTGTGCTGTCCCATTTATCTCTTGTGTTTACATCAACTTCCTTGACATCCACCAGATACCTGCAAAAGAAGAGCACAATGTATTCAAATTATGCACAAACTACATCCAACTAAAATGCTTCTTGCCATTCTCTTTACACATCTAAGAAGTTCAAATTGAGCACTATCAGCATGTTTTATTTCCTGGATCTCATCCCAAACCGTACCCACAGGACAGCCCAGCATATACTTCGGACACAAATAACAAATGTTGGAACACAGGTTCAACATTTGGGTGATCAAGCTGCTTATATTGGAGACAATGTGTCTGCTCTGTGGCCAATGAATTGGATCAGAGTACTGGCTGTGCTCTGGCCTTGCATGCACCAGTGACCCACGACCCGGCAGCCGGCCAGGGAGTAAACATGGCACATGTCTGGGTATTGTATGGGACACAGGAGATCCCTCAGCCAATCCACCTGGCAGACAATCTGAGTTGGGGTCACACTCAGTCATTATCAGTGTTGTATTATCTGGGAGGTGGGTTCCACATCCAGACACTATCTCCTGCATGGCATGACTACCCTGATCCTGCTGTCACTAATCCCATGCATGAAAACACACACACACATTATATATATATATATATATATATATATATATATATATATATATATATATAGATATATGGCTATACACAGCTTTAACTAGGGATGTCTGGCACTGACTACATCATGTGGAATGATTTCCTTTTAACCTACAGATGCAGTGATCCTCCAAAACTTTGTCATTGTAGGTTCTATCAAGGTTGTGCTGGCCTTGCATAGGGAGAGCATAAAGCAGGCTGAATACTGTCACACAATACATGGATAACATGACTATCTATTGAGTTATGTGTCTATATTTACCAAACTGACTGACCACACTAGAATACAACTACTAGAACACAAAGACAGTATCTAAAAATTCTGCTAAAGCGGCGTGCAATTGCTACGTGAAGCTCTCAGACTAAGATGTGTCTCCAATGGAATAATTTGTCAAACATGCAATAAGATAACTACATAGTGAAGCAAGAGGAATAGCTGGGAAACGATGACATACTTCACTTTTGAGAGGTCACCAGTTCTGCATCCAAAGAATAGGTCACTGGTGTCCATTCTTCATTCTAGAAAACAAAAACAACACTTGGATTAGTATACCAATTGCCATACCAATACCTGCATATAACACACACATAAATACATACAAAGCTGGCCAATGTCGAGCAAGGAAGAAATCTGAAGTCCCAATCTCAGCGCCAACTCATAAAAGTTAAGACCTCAGAGCAAATGTCTATCATTTGATTCCAGTAAGCAAATTTAAATCAGGAACACCTTTCTAGAAAATATCAAGCGGAAGGCATGCACCCAACACATTGCCCCCGTACCTATTACCACCCATACGCACACACGGAGGCAGGCCCCAGCACCACTGCTAAGTTGTAAAAAGGCCTTGTTCACGATCATTCGCCCGTTCCGCGAACTCACTAGCGCTAGCGCACTTTTGTTTGTACTCCATATATGTACGAACGGCGCAGAATTGCCTCCCCTCGAAAAGGTCCGAAATGGAGCAGGGCCACTACAGTATGAAATTTGGATTGCCTTATGGCAATCAAGCGCACGTACTTTGGCTGTCGTACTTGTACTGTTGAACGGCCTCTCACATCTGTAACCAGGGGCTATTCAACAAAATGAGTGGCTTAGCACGGATTATGACGAAAACTTCTCCCAAAATGCAACAATAAATGGGATTCACAACTGAGCGGGTCCAATTCGGAAGAGTCGTTAGCGGGCCCACTTCCCTCTCAAAAATGAGGAGTTGGAGCCCAAGTTAGGGAAGGGGGTGGGGGCTGAAATCCAAGTTGGGGGAGGGCTGGCGTCCCCCCTCCCACACACCCATGCACATTTGAATCACGACAGCGATACAAAGCAGTCTGATTTCACTCTGCAGTGTTTCGTTTCGCCTGCCCCTTATGATGGAACGCAGCCCGTTAACATTTCATTCCAAAGTTGTGTAAAGCTGTGACAAAATAGCGTAGGTATAGCTTGGTGTCTAAGAAATCTAGCAATGCTCCATTTAAAGCCCTGAAATGGTGTCTGCATGAAAATACTGAAATGAAAAAGCTAGTTATGGAGAGCAATATTTTGGCACAAGGAGAAGACAAGTGGACTTTCTAAATCGGATTAATTGCCGACAAGATCCACTATCTACCTAACGTAAAAAGGTCACCATAGCTCACTTTACCTTTTTAAGTTTTAGGTATACTGTCTGACATGGTTATCGACGTACAAAAAACAAGCTGTGTGTTACTAGACTGTCATTGTATATTGATTTCATGCCCAACAGCAGAGGCGTGGCCGACGGAGAGCCTTTGGGGCAACGCTTCCCCTCTTCATTCCCTGGAGATGACAAGAGTCTTACGCTGGCCGAATGCTTTGGTACTCTTAGGCTGTTAACGACGCCCTTAGTAAGGTAACATAAAAAACGGGCCCTCTAGGGACTTAAACTGCATACCAAGCATGCAAAGGTTCCCAATAAAAATGACTACGAATGTTGCGCGGATTTGTTACTTCCGATTTCGCTTGTTTCATATGTTTTGTGTCCTGTTGTTCGACTTTTCCTTTAACTCTACCTAATTGCATAAAGCAACCGACGACGTGACTGACTTAATTTAGTTGAAACTCATGCATGTTTTTTGAATAACGTACGTATATGACGTTGAGTGAATAGACATGATGTTTGGAATGTATTCAGAAATATCAATCAGCGGGGTAATAGAGCCACTCTGTCGGAAGAGTCACGTTTATTAAAAGATAAGTTCAGTTGTTTGGTTAACAGGGGCGGGCACTATGCGTGTAGAAATAACTGGCGGCATTTGGGCCTCCTTTTACCTCCCGTATTGTCCCGTATTGTATTATCATGTCATTGGGGCTTTGAGACGTGTTTCGGTGCTTAGACTATATAGCATTGCCTGTCTATCATCCTGCCACTAAGGACGGCTACTGAGGGTTATCATTTTAGAGATAGTGGCCTCACAAAAGAAACGCCCGTGGGAGTAGCAGACGTGACCTGTACGTGACCTGCAGACCTGTACGTGACATCACTTATGTCAAGGTTTGAAGTTCCTAGATCATGACTTTGGGGTCAAAGAAGGTCAGAAAGTCCAAACTCCTGTCCCTAAACCTCTTTATGCAACCTTCGTCAACCTAGATACGTGTCTTAAGCAAAAGTTTACTGGTGTTCAATTGAGGTCAGTGACCTTATTTGACCTCCAGGAGGTCTCGGTAACCAAGCTCGTACAAGATTGCTGCTATTTTATCCTTCTAATAAGCGTCATATGCTAGGTGGTACGTTCCTGCAAAAACATGTTGGCCTGGGTCATTTTAAGTCAGTGACCTACTCTGACCTTGATTAAGTCCATGGAGCATGTCCTTTGCGGTTCCTGCCATAAATAAGTTCGAAATGGCCACTAGAAACTACTCCACAAACCAAGCTCCCGTGTAAAAAAGCAGACTAGTTTTAACCTCGGTCTGACCTTCATATCTGACCCTAGGTCATTGCAATTGGTTCCAGCTTTTCATTCTTTTCGTGTATGCCTTTAAAATTACCTAACATATGTACAGCTTGGTCTAGCACTCCGTTATTGCATCACATTAAGCGATTCCCTAAAAGTACCTTTTCCCGACAGCCATAACCTGACTTTAACATGCCACAGGTCAGCGACCTTCCCAAGTTTGATTTTTATATAAAAGATTCGCTTTTCAATTATCTACAACTTTGCAAAGTTTACGCGGCTACGCTGCGCCGTTTGCAAATCACTCAAAAAACCTTCGGGTGCGGTCAACCTGCCCCCCCCCCCTCCCGATTAAATCAGCAAGAACAGCCTGGAAGTACACAGCTCGTTTTTGGCTACCCAACGACCAATTTAGACAGGCCATAGCTATACTAAATGTAGTGATCGATGGTTACATTTTTACGTTAGGAGGATGTTGGATCTTGCACCCGATTTAGAGCACGTCTTTATGGTTTCTTCTGTGGGTAAAGCACTATCCCACAGAACAATTTTTTCAAATCCGTATTCCTAAGCAGATAGGATGACCTGAACGACAATGTCATCACACGGTTTCAGTGCTTCAAATCAGCCACCTTTTGATTTAGAAGACGTCAGGTTTTGTAAGCATCCCGCAGCCATTTGGTCCCAAATTTGAAACCACATGACTGCAGGCTGCTACGGAGTGTAATCATGCCGCTTTACCACTAAAATCCTGCGATTTAAGTGTGTGCTGGTGCGTGAGAGCTTGTGAGAGTGAACGTGTGGGAGAACTTCAGCTCTCCCCAACTTTAGTTTCAGGCCCTCCCCTCCCAGCTCGGGTCCCAACTTTGAGAGGAAAGTGAGACCCGTTGAATGAAGCATGTCATTTTATTCTGGAGTATTCAGGGATTAGGTTTCGTCGTAACTCACTGTTTAGCACCCCTCCCCCCACCCACACTCATTTTGAAACTAGCCCCTGGTTACAGAAAGGAGAGAAAATATTTCAAGCGCGTGCGTTCGAACGTTATGGTGTAGTCCAACGTACATACGGAAATGACCCTATTCCTTTTCAAGTATTTGACAGCATGTTATACAGATTATTTTTGTCATGTATGTATACGCACTTTTCAATTCATTTAGTTATATTACGCAGCCACCTGACAAATTCCTATAAATTCAACTGAGGCCTCATTTAATTTTGGCAGTTTTTACAGAAGTCTCAATTTCTTCATCGGTAGTAATGAGTGGAAGATGCTTTAACAGCTTAGCAGTGGGATATTTTGTGGCAGCCTTCTTTATAAGCCTGACTAATGCCGATGTAACCGTCCGGAGCTTGTGGACAGCCAGATTCGGTTTTTTGGCAGTTTTTCGCGGTTGCAGTGGAATGCGAAACGCCAGCGATGACAACTGTCAACCATTATCAGGGCTGTCAGTTTCGCCTTCTATTCACCTTCCTTTCCTCATTCACTGCTTCATCCCGCATGCTCACAACTCCTCCCTCCCTCCGGGGCAAGGTGCCTACCCACTTCAGCCACAGGCGTGCCAAACTGGCAAGTGCCCCTAAGTGCCCGAGTGTACGCGCATAGCCCAAAGAAGGTTCCTTGTGAGGGAGGTCTCAGTGATAGGGTATTCTCAGATGGCAGCCGCCCTGTTCCCCTGTCACATCTCTTATCCGTGTCATAGCCCTTCAATAGTCATTGCCGTTCAAAAGTTATCTAATCCCGACCAAACTAAATAAGTAAAATGCAGTTTTCTGGGACAAGTCCCAAAATTTCGTGTAGATGGAACATTGCAAAAACCAGTAGAAATTGCTCCAATACTGATGTGTTGCATGGGGAAAGTGTAAATAAGTTCAAGTAGAGTTTAACGCAGCCCGGGGTGTCACTTAATGTGACTTCGAGGGACCTGTGCGCCTCAAATGCTGACTTGCCCTTTCCCCTCCCCCCAATGCTTCACTGAGCCCCCTCAATACGTCTGATCAAAGAGGGAATAGTGATCCAAACACATACGAAATAATTATCTAAACTATTGGTACACTATTTAGTCGTCACCTAAGTGTATTACTATTATAAACATGTTAAATATCCTGTACGTAGCTGATGTTTTTGTCATGCCAACTCCTTCATGTGTTGAGCCAGCCTGCTACTGGTTGACGAGCTTTTGAATGATAGCCCTTCGAATGGGATAAAGAGCAACTGACGGCGATATGCGGAAGCTCTGAAAACTACATGATGCCCAAGATAAAACAAACCACATGTTCCCCTGGGCAGAAATATGTGTATCTTTCGCACAATCGTAGCTGTGGTGGATCCAGCAAACGTGGCCGCGGTGGTTATACGACACGGTCAGTGACAGCAATAGTCATCAGCGATCGCTTGCTAAGATTTAGTTTAATGATCTTCTGAGAATTACATCTCATTGTAAGCTCTTTACAAAAGGGTAGCTCGCATCAAAATGAAATGGGATATGATTAATCCGAGTAAAACGATTCTGAAATCTACGAAATATGAAAACATTAAGCAAATTCCCCCCCAAAACTTACTATTGTGGATGCGAGTTCAAGTGGCCCAAAACTGGCGAGAAACCGTGCTTGGCTGCAGGTTAGGTCAACGTTTTCGGCTGAGGCCCCCCCCCCCCCAACCGGTTTTAGGGAGTGATGTCTCTGCATACAATGCATGGTTTACTGGAGCTCATCTGCCATGGCCCTTGTTAGGTGTATATGTTTATTGGGTTAATTAGTGGAAGCGATTGTTTTTTACCATCTTTTATTTGAAGTCCAAGCCACAAGACTTAGAACTTCCGCGAAATCATGACGCAGTTTCATTAGAAATTGCCAGCTCTGGCAAATTTGTTCATTTGCGCTATTTGTCAACCATCTAATAACATACCCACAGAGGGAAACAAGAGACAGTACATAGTTAGGAAATCAAGGCATAATTCGCCTTTGA